AGAACATGAATCTAATAGGCCCATTATCTCCAATAAATTATCCACTTCCTAATAAGTAGGAGCTGACCAATTCAAATGACAATAACAAATAAATAATAGAAGGATAAATCCCAACTGACTAAATAAATGACAAATAAATAATATCCTAAATAATAAAAGGATAAATCCCAACAAAATTTGCTTCACTCGTTTTTGTTTCTATTTCCAGTCATATTATGTAAAACCATTGGCATATTACATGTTTTACATTTTATTTTTCAATAGAAGGATGACTTCAAGGGGAAAAACGGAAAGGTGAAAAAAAGAGTACAGTAGATAGGTGATGATGCTCAGCTAGTTAGCGAAAGACCTCTATCTCCTTGAATAGAAGAAAATGAGAAGCTTGCGGGTTTCAGTTCTTCCTTTTTCTTCAATTTCCTCGATGTTTCTCTTCTTCACAGTATATTCATAGATTTTCGGTATTCTTCGATGACCCCTTCATAAGTTTCGTCTTCCTTCATAGATAAACCTTGTGAAGGGGAAAAGATGAAGTCGTGATAGCAGAAAAGGGCAGAACAATGAAAGGAAAATTTTTATTAAAATTTTGAAATACAAAAGCTTCCAGAGGAAGGCGGGAGAGTGCCGAAATGCGCGGGAGACAAGATGAAATGTGATAGAAGAAAGTGTGTTTGGTTTAAGGGGAGGGCGAGGGAGGGGAAGGGATGGGATGGGAGGGAAGGGGTTACCTTCTTTGATTTGGTTGGAGGGAAAGTGAAGAGAAGAGAGGGATTTTTAATGACGATTGTTTTGTTTCAGAGGATAAGGAGAGGGGCAGTAATAATTAATTAACCATTACATCTTTTTATATAATTAATTTAAATTTAAATTTAAATTACATGATTTACTTTTATTCTCATCCCACCATGTTTTTATGTTTTTAATATGTGTATAAAAAACTGATATAATGTTATTTTTATTTTTATTAATATAATAATATATTTTAAAAATGGAATATCACAAAAATTATAAGGAAAAAATAATTTAAAAAATAATTTTTATTTTTATGTAATAAAGAGTTTATTTTTTCTTGGGCATTAATGAAATATTGCAAAATTACAAGGGCAAAATAATAAAAAAAATTAATTTTTTATTTTCAATTAATTTGCTGTCCGTATCTGAAATGACTGATCAATTTACTTTTATTTTTTTCCATTGGTATTGATAGAATATTTAAGGTTATAAGGGGTAAAATAGTAAAGAAAAAAAATCAAACCCTTACAAGGTAGTGAAAATGTAGAAGAGGGAAGGGGTAATTTTTACTCCCATTGTCTACCAATATTTTTAACCAAATAAAGGTAGAGGATTGTTTTTTCTCCCCTCAAGCCAAACACACCCTATGAAACCAAAGAAAAAGCATATGACAAATGATTTCTAAGGGCCCGTTTGATAGGAAGAATTGGTTGGAATGGAAAATTTATGAATGATGACGTGTTTGGTAAGCACTAGAATGATGAAAAATGGGTTGACAGAAAATTTTATCTTTGGTTAGATAAAAATGGGTTGGAAAATTATACAATATGCCATGTTACCCTTAATGGAAAAAAAATAACATTATTAAATAAAAAATGCTTTTTAACATTAAAGAATAATATTATTATTAAAAAATTCAATAATCCAAAAAATTATATTAATAAAAAATTATAATTTAAAAAAATTAATAAATATCAATACTCAATATAAATATAAAAATCATCATAGATTTTCATAAAAAATTACTATTAATATTAATTTTTAAAAAAAATAAATAACAATAATAAATAATATAAATGTAAATACGAAGATGACGTTTATTTTTAGTCATTGTACTTCTTTCATGTGTTGTCTTGCAAATGCTTGCAATTCTGAATATCTCCAATAGTTTGTTTTTAGTCATTATATTTCTCGTTGCCTCTACCAATTCGAATTTTCACTTCCTACTCAAAACTTCTCGTTTTCAAGCCATGAGATGGATCAAATTCAAATTTTTGAATGGATTTTTATTTCATTAGAGACTAGAATTAAATAGCCTTTTAGTGATATATCATTTGCCTAATTTATATTTAAATTAATAAAGTTATGTTCGATGAAATTTAAGCTTCAATATGACAAAAAAAAAGCAAGCAAAATTGAATTTGATGTTGAAAATGCAAGTGTTCTTGTATAAATTCAAATCTACACAAAAAGAAATGTAAATCTCCTTGCAGCAAATTTGAATGTACTCATTTTGTTGTCGTAGCTTAAAACTCAATCATAGACTTATTCATGTAAGTTGAAACTTGTATAAACAAATTCCAATTCATACACGAGACATTTCAACTTTCGCACCAAATTTGAATTTCATTGCGTCTTACTCAGACACTCTATCACACTCTATTTTGGAGGCACTAAACAGAGTAATTTTTAACTAAATATAACTTTTTCAGTTTAAATTCAATTTGGGCAAATAAACTATCATTGAAAAACTCTCTGAGTCTAGTTTTTAATGCAATGAGACCCATTCAAAAATTATTTGTAATTTTAAAGTTATGATCAAAATAGTGAGCAAGTGTCAGAAATGTTTTTCTCTAGATTTTGAACCAGATTTTAAAACTCATATATATTTCATATGAGAACATGTTTTATTGATGTATATGTGGTTGAAAAGCTTATACAGAGGTCGGTAATGCAAATTGAACACCCTGTTGCGGTTAAAGAGTTGATTAACGCAATAATCTTCCTCCTTCATGGGTCACTCACATTCGGCAACATTGAACACGTTGTTTTTCAAGTATTGAATAGGAAAGATCAGATTGCTTCATCTGAAAGTGCCCACTCATTGTTCTGGATTTAATTTAGAGAGTATTTAAATATGTTTGCTCTCATTTCTTACTTTAACCATATAATTTTGATGCTCTATCTAGCTCTTCTTTTTCTCCTCCATCAGCTCCGTCACCTATTGCGTTCTCTTTTAGGGATAAAGTTGTCCCAAAAATTTTCTTAGCCGGATGGAAATGGGATTGTTGGGAAGCCATCTTCCCATCTTTAAAGGAAAATGTCCCGCCATCGGAAAATGGTATCCTGGAAGATTGAGCTACCAAACGTCTTCAACCAATGGAAAATTTGAAGTTTCCTTTTTTCTGGCAAGATTTTCAGCATACCAAACGGGCCCTAAAAGATATCATATAAATTGAGGGTTGAGCTTCAAAAAAAAAAAAGTAATAATAATAATAATTTTAAGAAAAGTTGCTTTTTAAGTTCAACTCTTTTAAGTCAGAATTCTTCAAAAACTAGCCATGTAGGGTTCAGGAATATCCAATTTTAACCTGCATAAATTTTTTTTCATTTTAAGTACGTGTTTTATAATTATATTTGTTCAATTTTTTCTTTAGCTAGTATTTAACTATTTATTTGAAATTATTTTAATTCTTCATAAGTTAGATGAAGAAATATAATGCAAAAATATCAAGATATTTATGTCATCATGGATCACTTTTCTATTTAGGTTTCATAATAATGATTTGATTTGATATGGTTATGGTTGTTTCAACTTAGTTTAACACTTCAGGTTGGTAATATTTGTGACTTGAATTAAAAATTTTATGAAATCTTTTGTTTTATTTTTGTCTATTTAAAAATAAGTAAGAAAATGAAAAGAAAACTTTAAAAGATCCAAAACCTCCTATTTCAAGGATTGGGCTTCATTTACAAAGGTAGGTATTTTAGGATAAGCGAATTTTATACGCCCAACTGGTTTGAATTTTCCAAACTCCCTTCATTTTACACCTCTGCAAATCACCATGAGAAAAAGAGAGAATGTAGGTCCCATAGTCATTAAAATCCACATTGAAATATTAAATAATAAGGGAATAAGTTAAAAAGACATTAAAAGCTAGAAAAAAAAAACTAATTCATTGTCTTTATAAATTTGCCTTTTATTAGGTTTTCTTTTATAATTTTTCAATTATAGATATTAATTTTAATGCTCAAAATCTCTAATTAAGACTAATATGGACATGCAAGTTATTGCAAAATATAAAATAAAAAGAAATTTTAAGAAATAAATTATTTAATTATTACCAACATAGAAATAAAAAATGCTTGAGACGTAATTTTAACTACAGAGTTGAGGTGGTCTTTTATTCATCAAGACAATGGCTTTATAACAATCCTCTTTTATGAAATAAAAACATAGAACCAAAATTTTCAATCAAAATGGCTAGGTTTAGCAAATTATACTGTCATGCACAAGAACCAACCATGAAAATGCTTCAAAGACAAGCAATCAGCTAGGATATATGTTAAAGAGGAATTCTCACGTAATCCCTATTTCGCCTTTTCATATTCCAACCTTTTTTACACAGTCCAAAATTAAATAATCTTTCCCACATGAAATGGAAACCTAATAATTGAATGGCATCATATGCCATGAATAAAATAGTACATGAATTAAAAAAAATGCACACTACTCCTTTAGTTCTTAATGTATGACCTAATTTGAGAATTGATGTTAGTCATATATGTAAAACTTATTTCATATGTTTATTAATTTTTTTTCAAATTAATTCTATTGATGTTTTCTCAACAATAATCAAATAGGAGAGAGAGGAGGAGAGGGAACTAAGAAAGATGATTGGGATATTTTAGGAAAAAAACATATCATATTAACTAATTTAATTAACAATCTTAATCTATTTAAATTAGTTAATTAAGTTTTACGTTAAGAACAAGAGGAGTAATAAGTTTCACGTCTTAAACGCAATCACAAAACCCAATCATCCAATAAAAGTTCGATATATGTCATGCATTTGTGGCTACACATAATACAATAACAAAGATTAAAACAACGTCACTGTTTGAACACTTACTGGTGCTAACCACCACAATTAAGTTACTAATAATATTTTGGAAGGAGCCTAAATAATTAAAACAGAACAAAAGAGAGGAGAAACAAACCCAGAGAAAACTATTTGAGTATCCCTTAATAACCAGTTTCTGCATTACACAATGATTCTTTCCTTCCTCTCCTGTTGATCCATTGTATCACAAAGAGCAATTCCTTTGGTCTCTGACAGGCATAACAAAGAAGAAGCACTTCATAAGATAATTAACCCAAATATGCCATAAGAGAAAAGGTCATTTTTCCTCCCCGCCGATATCAAAAATGGGCTAAATATAGCACCAAATACCATGGCTTGCCTGGCCATCGATGTTGCAGTGTTCCTGACACTTGTGGGAAACAACTCTACCACATATATGAGAAAGACATCAAAAGATGTAGCTACACAGAAGAATGAAACCAAAGCGAGGGCTGGTTTGACTATGGGCAGTTTATTTCCTATCCCAGCACAAATCAAACAACAAATACCACTTGATATGGAGAACGCAAGAAGTGAAGGTTTTCTTCTGCAATTATGCAAGAAGTATGTGGTAATAAAAGCTGGTATCTCTAGTAAAGCATAAAAGAGAACACTTAAGTATCTGTTGAATCCCAAATTTCCCACATTCAAAGGAACACCATAATATACCATTCCAATGCCAAAACCAAGCATTAGAGTTGCTAGTAGTCGTTTGAAAGCCCAGCTATTCACAAACAATTGTTTGATTGATGAGTAAAGGTTGAAAGTTGAAGCACTTTGTTTGGCAGGTTCTGTTAGTTGGCTTGGGTTCAAAGTTCCACCACTTGCTTTGTTGAGTAAAGCCATGGCTTCCTTTTCTCGAGCTTGCATGAGAAGCCACCTAGGAGACTCAGTAACAAAAATATAAGCCAAAATGGAGTAGCAAATTCCAGGAATGGATATCCAAAGATAAAGAGACTTCCATGAGGCATCGATATTAACATAAGCAATACCAGGCAAGGATAGAAACCCTAATGTATACCAAATGTACTCAAGAACTCCCACTCGAAACCGCCACTCTTTACACACTCTCTCCGTCAACAAAACCAGAGAACAAGTGCCAATTGATGAGCGGCAAAACCCGATCATAAGCTTCAAGGCCGAGTACAACCAGATGTTGGTGGAGAAGATAATGATGGATGAAGCAATTGAAATTGTTAAACATGAGAGAAAGAGCATGTTCTTCCTACCAAGAGATGAATCACCAAAGGTGGCAATAAGAAACCCAGCAACAAAGCATCCCATCAAGAAGGGAGATTGGGGTAAGCCTGTAATGAATGGACTGACACATTCAAGTCCCCATTGTGATATGATTGTCATTGAAGAGGCTTTGTTCCAAGCCCAAGCGGATCTTGGGAGTTTGCAAATATCAGAACCTTTTAAGCTACATTTGGTGTGATTGGTATTTGTGCAATGCCATGATGGGTGGCCATCAGTGTAAACACTGATGAATGATTGTTGTGCATTAAAGAACATTGCCAAGGACACAAGGAGAGATTGTAAGATTTGTGTCCTCTCAAAGTTTCCTAGATGTTTCTGAATCAAGATTAGCAGAAACTCCTGTTGGACTTGCAATTTCTATGGAGTTTTGTTGACTCTGCTCTATGATATCATCTGAAGATGGTAATGCAGTAGTTCCCCCCTCCCCCCTTCTGAATGACCAGACTGAGGTAAATTTTGAATTGGCTCCCTCATTTCTGCATAGTTTTCTTGATTGTAATTATATACTCTTTTTTGCATTTGAATATTGTGAAATCAGAAATAGAACTCTGAAAAAAATAATTCTATTAGGGTAGCATATGGGTTTTCATAAACTAGAAGCAGGTAATATAAGCGTCCAGCAAAGGAATCTGAAACTCAAACCTAATCAGTATTAACCACAAGTTATTAATTAAAGTGTGATCAGCAAGTAATTAATTAATAAAGTGATTTAATATACTGATTAAAAAGGATGTCTAAAAAGTTTTGGGGGATATTATGCAGGGTTTGCTTTTCAAATGGAAGTGAAATTTCTCTTCAATGAAAAATGATAACTCTTTTCAACCAATTCCAGCCTTCTAAGTTCCCCAAATGAGCCATGCACACTTAAATTATCACTTCGACCTGTTGCATCTTGTACATGGTTTTTTTGGTTTCACATAACCAATCCTGAGCCACTTTCTGAAATTCCTAAATATCACATCTAGACACTAGTACTATGCGAATACATTATTATGCATATACGTTGTTCCCTATAATACATAGCCAAGGCACATGAGAAAGGTCAGGTAAGATCATATAAGGTTCCAAATATTCTCGTGTTCTTCTAAAGGTTGGAGCTTTCTATTAGTTAGAGACAGGGAGAATTGGAGCGTTCAGCCCCCCATTAGTAGTGGAAATGTAGGGTCATCACATTAATTTTAATTGAATTAGTAGAAATAGTAAAGAAAATAAGAGTCGAAAAGACCACATGAGAGGCACCTTTGGTGGTAATATATAATGAATGAAGATATGGGTTCAAGTAATAAGCGTAGAGTCAAGGCAAAGAACAAAACCCTCACATTCCGTCTTGGAAGACTACAATTGTTAAGTATCTAATAGGATAAGATTTTGTTGTTATTTGTATGTCGCCGGTAAGCAAAAAATTCTACCTAGTATCAAATCAAATATCCCACGAAGCAATTTTTGCACTTGAGCATTACTACTCTATTCCTACTTATGAATTATTTGTATTCCGAGCCTGCAAACCAAAAAAAAAAAAAAAGAAATACATTAAATTGATCATTTTTCCAACTTTTGCCCTTATTGAAGAAAGGTAGCAAAAAAAATATGTTTACATTTTCTCTCACCTATTTAAGTCAATAAGGTAAAATTGGAAGAAGCACATTAATTATCCTACAAGTGATTTATATTTAGGAACAAATATTTTTCCTACAAGTGACTTATAAATAGGAACAGAGTAGTAATTAGTGGGTATATAATTGTTCACCGTGTAAATCTTGAGGTGTAAATATATGATTGAATTGAGTATTATAGATACCTCTTAATGTGAGATGACTGTTTCATTTAAAAGGTTCGATCTATATATGGAGTTTATATGTTAATTATCCTACTCCTAATGGTCAAATGTAAGTTATTTGTTGATTATTATATCATAAACTACTTTAATTACTTATTTGGTTTAGCCAATACACCTGCAAGGTTCATAAAATACATGAGCATTACAGTTAGGCCATTATTGGATTTGAAAATTGTGGTGGCTACATATAGATCTCATTTTATAATGAATGAAATGTATTCATTTTATAATCTCACAATTTTGATCTTATAAAATGTATTCTTCTTTCTTAAAATTTTTATAATGAAATGACAATATGGTAAAACAGGTCTTTAAAATAAAAAGATCATTTTCATTTGTCAAAGAGAAAAAAGTTATAGAAGGAAAAAAATAAAGGAATTTTTTTTTGACAAATTAAAGGCCAAAAAGCTATTTTTTTTTTTTTTTGACCTGGGCCAAAAACCAATTTCAAAAATATAAAAGAATCATATCTCTATCATTTTTTATGATGCAATATTCTTACTTATTTTTATAGTTAATGGACGAGAAAAATTATATATATTTTAAAAAATAGTCTTTTGGGGTTTAAAGACTCAAGAATAACAAATGAAAATTTTTAGTGGTAAACCAAAAAACAATTTATTGGAAACAATTTTCTATGTTAACATCATTGATATAACAATAGAAATAGATCGAACTAATTCATTAGATCATGATGAACCAAACTAGTGTCTGTTAAAAGAAACACTTAAATAGGATTAAGAATGAATGAGTCAATAATAACAAGCTAAATCAATTAAAAACCAACCAAACTGGTCAAACTCAGACCAATTTCAGAAAGATAGGGCAAACAATAAAATTCTCAACCTTCAATTCGTGAAATAGATGCGCTCTAACTTTCATGAAAGAAAGCTGAGCCACAAAACTTGCATTTCCCCCTTTTTTTTAATTTTGGTTTTTGTTGATTTTTTCTGTTTATTTTTTGAACTTCCTTTTTAATGTAAGGACATATGTTTTATCTCTATATTTCTTATTATTTCTCTATTTTTTCCAAACTTTATCTTTTTATTTAGTTTTAATATGCCTCCGAAAAGTTCCCATTGTTTTGTCATTCTCTTTATATAAGTGTGCCCTTGAACATTGAATAAATTTGGAATAGCTGTGAACAGATATGATAATTTATACATTTGACAATTTCTAAAAGGAAATTGTAATTGTTTTAATAATACTTTCTTTCAAAAAATCATGACTATTGTCACACGCTAAGCATTTTCTCAAGAAAAATAATAATTTTAACATTTTTTAAATACATTAATACATAGTTTCAAAACATATTAATTTAATAGGAATTTGACTAACAACCTATAAACCAATATTTCAGCCGGCTAAATAAGGGGGAGAGAGGGCCAAATATCGCAGCATAGTTTTGTCGCTCTATTATGCTTCTGTGTTTTGGCATGTAGGTCCCTCCCCTGTCCGAAGACCTACATGAACAATGAATTATTCATATAGCTGACATCATTTAGCAAGATCAAATATGTTACATTTCCAGGTTCTTTTCTCCTTCAAATTTTGAATTTACATCCTTTCAAATTCTAGAGGGTTAATGCAAACTTTTTTCTCTTAAATTTGTTTTCATTTTGATTTTTATCCCTTAATTAAGTTGATGTTTTTGGTCCTTTAAGTTTCTTTTTATTTATAATATTAGTTTTTATAATTCAATAAAAACTTGAACTATTTTGTCCCCTGAGAGACTAAAACCTATGATTTAAAATTTGAGGGACTAAAACCAAAATGAGGGCAAACTTGAAGGACCAAAGATAATATTAACCCAATTATATTCTAAATTATAAGAAAAACCCAGCCAAAAATCCTAGAAATATGTTATTTTCAATAAAAAAAAAGAGTATATTGGAATGGAACTTTTTTTTCGGGACTGAAAGATATGGGAACGGAACTTAACAAGTCTTCAATTGGGACAACACCTCACAATTATGGAAACAGGTTGAGCCAACAGGAGCAATAAGAAGCAGCACATTCAGAGACCTGATTTGGAGAGACAAATTAATTATTAATTTTTCTTTACATTAATAAACTATTTGAGTCAATTTTCAGATCAATTTTAATTTTAAGGTAACCATTAAAAGCGAAAATTTAGTTCATATGATTCTGAATAGATATTTTAAATAAGTTTTCAACTAAAAAAAAAAGTAAATTAAATCCAAGAGAAATATGTTAAATGTCATGGCTGGCCCTTTGATACCAGGTGAGATTTTAGGACCAAAACCCAGCACTAAGGTGTGATAAAAAGGCTCAAATATATGTGTAATAATAAGAATAAGGGACTCTTTTGGGTAAAACGAATTTTAATTTTATTAGTTACTTATAGAATAATATACACGATTCTCCCTTGACTCTGGCACAAATACAGGGGTGTTTGGGAAGCCCAACAAGCACTTTTTTACAAATCGAGGCAAACTCATCTCTATATTTACTTTGTATACCATAAAAGCACTTCTGAAATAATAATTTTGATCTTACCCAAATACCCCCTAAAATATGATAGGAAACCTTTAGGGGTTAGTTAGAATAAGAGAGAGAATGTGTTAGTGATGTGGTTGATCAAAGAGAATAAAAGTATTGTACCTATTCTTTCTCCATTTTTGCCGATCGAATTATCTGCCTTCTCTCTTTGTTCATACCATGCGTAAGGTATTAGGATCTTTCTCTGATCACTGGTATTACCAGAAACTTGATCATATCTAAGCATATCGGTGAATTGGAGCAACCTCTAGAGTTTCAAAATGTCATCCTAAACACAATGAAAACTCGTCTTGATCAAAAAACATATCAATGAAAAACATCAATAAAAAGAAATTAAAGAGGGAGAATAATTTTACAAGAGACTGAGGGAGATAGGAGAAGAAGGAGAGGAAGGAGGCGTTATAGCATTTAACAAGAACAAGATCAAACCAAAAAAAAAAAAGAAAAGCTGAGAGAGCTTGTCATTACCAAGCTCAAAGGAGTGGAAAAGCAGCCAGAAGAAAAAGGCAATGGATCAACATTTACAAGAAGGGCATGTTGAAGGATATTTAAAGGAAAAAAATAAGGTTTCTTTTACGCATCATGCTACGCCAACGCACAAAGGTACACGTAGCCTATTGTCACTGGTGAGCCGTTAGGATATGGGATCTTCCGTTTTGTCATC